GGGAGCAGAAGATGGAAAAGGGGAAGAAGTGGTCTGATAAGCATGCCTTTAGGGGTTTAAGTGAATTTCCGCTCTACAGGTGGGATGCTTAGGGGAAAAAGAGCGTCAAGGATTAGGAATAAGACGGTCCAGGCAATAGGTGTCCAAGCCCGTCACGAGCAAGCCTGAAGGAATCCCATATTCCCCTCACTTTCTACCCTCAAGTCTGAGAGCTAACGCATTCACAACTCCTTCAATACTTTCTCCCGTACACTTAAGACGGAAAAAATGATGACGGGCGTGTGTCCTCAATTTAAGATGGCACTTTTTCTCACGTCGGACAAGTAGCGACTGGTTTTTCGGCGAGGACAGAGTACGTCTCGTGACGTTGGCAACCCAGTCGTCATGACGAAGAGGAAATCGAAATGACCGTGCTCCAATATTATTCACGACGAATACTTAGCACAGGCGAGACACCAGTCCTTTGGGTTGTGGATGCTACTACGCAATCATTTTCCGGATTCTTACGAAAGCAGCTTTGCTCAGAAAGTATGAAGGAACACCACCTGGCGATCCGGGCAAGCACGCTAGCGTGTCTCTTCTGCGTCACGGGGGCTTTTACAAATCTCCATTTACGCAATGCTCCAAGAGGAAGAATTTCGCCATCATTGACTACTTTTCCAAGTCGGCTGCATGTGTCTGCCCCATCATCATTCCGTCGGTCCGGAAAGCATTGCGTTTTTGCTGGATCGATTGCGCCGGCGGCTCCTGATGATTTCGAGGATGGTCTACCGCCTGACATACACACAGCCACACCGGACACTGACAGTCCGACATCGACCCCTTTCCAGCGCATAGCTGACAGTAAACAAGCCGTGCCCACCCTGGCGGCGCTTTTGCGTTTTACTATTCCCACGCTGGGCATATGGCTGGCCGGGCCGATCATGTCCTTGGTCGATACGAGCGTGGTGGGCCTTTCCTCCGATTTGGAGCTGGCTGGCATGGGCCCCGCCACCAACCTATGCGACTCCTTCATCTATCTCTTCACATTTTTGGCGGTGGCCACCACAAATCTTCTGGCGGGCGCGCTGGCGGATGGGGACGAAGCCAAGAGCCAGACTGTGGTCTCGCACGCCCTCGCCATTGCCCTCGGCGCCGGTATCCTCGTCATGCTTGTCATCGAATTCGCGGGCAAAAGAATGCTAGCTGCGACCATCGGTGCGGACGGCCCCCTTCTCATCCCTGTTGCCCTCAAGTACACCAACATTCGGGCCCTGGGAGCCCCCTTTGTCTTGGTGGGCATGGTCGCTCAATCCTCCCTTCTCGGCGCCAAGGACTCCGTCACACCGCTCCTGGTCACCCTCGGCGCGGGTGCGATCAATTTAATCCTGGACATGACCCTGGTGTCGTTCGGAAAGTGCGGCATTGCCGGCGCGGCGGCGGCGACAGTGGTGGCAGAGATAGTCGGGACTGTCGTCCTCCTCCGGGCCCTGAAACGCGCCCAGGGACCCCGGCGTTTCTATCCTTTTATCGCCCTCTCTTCCCCCCTTAAGGACATTGCCAAGTTCTTCACCTTTGCAGGGCCGGTCTTTTTTGCCCTGTTCGGCAAGTCGCTCTGTTACACCTCCCTGGGCATCGCCGCGCAGATGATGGGTGCCGTGCCCCTTGCCGCCCATCAGGTCATGCTCCGATGCTTCTTTTTCTTCACTACCTTCGGCGACTCCCTCTCCACAACGGCTCAAGCCTTCCTCCCCGGCTTTCTGGTCGACGACAACAAGCTCGCCATCGGGAAGGTGGTGCGGAGGCTCGTCTCCATCTCCTTGGGGGTGGGCGGTTTGAACGCCATGCTCGCGGGCTTGCTCCCTTCGTTTTTCCCTGGTCTTTTCACCACCAGTGCCGCCATCGTCGGCCAAATGCACTTGATCGCCCCGTGGCTTTCCCTGTGCCTGCTCGCGCACGCCTGCACCATGGCCCTGGAGGGGACCTTATTGGCAGAGCGGGAGCTCCGATTTCTCGCGTCCTCCTACGCAATCAACACCTTGCTCGTCCTGGTCGGGCTTCGGAGGTTGCAGCACGTGGCTGCAGGGATCCAAGGGGTGTGGGCCTGTCTCTTGTATTTTCAAGTGAGCCGGTGTATCATTTTTGCCCTGCGCCTGCTCAGCAAGCACGGCCTGCTGCAGCGGGCAAGAAGGCGGGCATCCAGAATGTTCGAGAGCCTGGGCGGGAGGACTCGAGGACATGGTGGGGACGACCCGAGGATAGGGGGGGGGG